TCAAAGACAAGTTCTTATGGAACAGAAGAGCCGAAGAAGAAAAGTCAGTTTGCACAAATCTGATTCACATGCCGAGGTAATGAATTGTATTTCCACCCAATTTTCCAATGGTGCCTGCTAAAAAACAGCACGATTTTCAAAACGATGTTTGTAATCCTTACAATCCATAGCTCTCACCTCAACTATGTTGTCTGAGACTACAGAAAAAACCAATGAAGAATAAAGCTTCTAACGCTGGTCACTACTATGAGCCAAATAAACCACCACCAGTGCCTAATTCTCCTTGTTGCAACTCTTTTCTTCGTTGCTCTTCTAAGGGATCGGGACTCTTCAACACTCTTCGCATGCGCCTGAAACCCCATTAAAAACTATTAATTCACTTGAAAAATCTCAAAGATTCATGATAACGAATTTCATATTGACGATTATAACCTGTCTTGTGCATGCTGAGCAGGAAAAGTAGGCATAAATTCTTTACACTTGGGAAGAGGAACTTCACGGAACCATTCATGGTTGAGAGCCAAATCAGCAGTAATCCGCTGCACGATTACCACATACACAATGAGGGATTGTATTGACAAGAAATTTAATCACTAAAGAAAATGTACAGGTATATATATTAACTATAATATACCTTCTCAGGATCATAAGTTAAAAGCTTGGTTAACAGGTCAAATCCAGCTTCAGAAAGTACTGGTGATCCAGTAAAAGAAGTGGCAGGAAATTTCCTACGCAAAGGATTGTACCTGAAATGGAATATATCACTAATTAGTAGAAACATAGCATTCTTGTAATGTAACTGAAACTGTCACCCATGGAGGCCAGAAAGCCAGAACAGAATCACCCATAGCTGGAAGCCTGGGGAAACAGCGACAAAAGAAGAAACTATGAATACTGCAGTCAACAGAGATAAATATTGAATGTGAAAGATATAGATACTTACTGATGGTTGACACCATGCAAAATGTTCTCATTTGGTTTCCCAAGGATCCTATGTATCTGCAGTTATTTAAGATTCAATAGAAACTAATCAGTCCAAGTCTCAGTTGATTGGTATAGATCTACTCAGAACTTTTGAGAAATCATTAAACAGTGTCAGTTAATACTATCTAGCTCTATCATCAAATTCAGTCATCCATTCAGAATCTGTAGTAAATAATTAACCAAAGAATGCCATTGACCTTTACCTTGTTAAGTTGATCCAACTCTGTTTTCCCATTGAACAAAGGTTCTTTTGATAACAGCTCAGCCATAATACATCCCAACGACCACATATCAATTGCTGTTGAATATTGTTTGGCTCCCAAAAGAAGTTCTGGAGCCCTGCAAGTGAACTTAGAATTCAATTATCCTTCAAACCTAAGAAAATGTGAGTTACATATATATATATATGTGTGTGTGTGTGTGTTATTGAAAGAACATAATATCAAATGCACTACTACATCAATAACTATGATTTTGACTTTGAAGCATACATATTTACTTCATTATAGAAGTGATAATGGCAATGACCGAAAGATGAAAGATGATGGCAATTGGAATTTGAAACAATTATGAACTGAAGCTAGATAAAATGAGATCCACAAGAGTAAAGCATGCACACTCACGATGATATAGGATTGTTAAAACACGTGATAAGTTACTTGAGAAAGCTGTAAATATGTGAATGACAAATGCATGATTGTGGAAAAATTGGACACAAAAAAGGAAAATAACATAAAGGATAAAAGAAAGATGATGTGATAAAGTGATGCTCACCTGTACCACAGAGTAACAACCAATTGAGTATATGGTTTCAACGGGCTTCCATATTGGCGAGCCAAACCAAAGTCACAGATCTTCAACTCACCACAATTATTTAAAAGCAAATTTGACGTTTTCAGATCCCTGTGGAGCACCCAGTTATCATGAAGATACCTGACACCCTCTAAAAGCTGGAGCATAAGGCATTTAACTTCACTTTGACTAAATGGCTGTTTCATTGTCTCCATCAATCCCTTAAGATCATGCTCCATGTACTCCATAACCATGAAAATACTGCCAAGATTGCTCCCCACCACTACTTCTTTAACATCCACAATATAGGGATGGTTAAAAGAAAGAAGTACGTTTATTTCACGAAGAGCTGTCAGAGGAAACCCTTCTCTTTCTTTTTCCATCTTGACTTTCTTTAGTGCAACAATTTCTCCAGTCTTCTTATCTCTGGCTCTAAATACAACCCCATAAGTGCCTTCATCTATTTTGTTCAGTCTCTCAAACTCATCTACACTTCTGCATCCCTGGAGCATATTCACTCTCCTTTGTGGGGGTAGTGCAGGCTCCGGTGTCCCACTAGATCGTTCTCGATCCTCTGATTCCGTGTCATAATGGTTAACACTAGCACCATCATAATTGCAGTCCCCACCAATCTCCATGTAGTCATTTTTGTCATCGTTGTCAGGATCACTATCCCTACCGGAAGACCTAATAAGTTCATCAGATCCAGAGGATCTTCCTCTTGTTCTTTCAGATCCTTCTCTTTTGACCTCTCCAATCTCCGGAGTTACTGATTTTCTACGTCCCCTCTTCTTCAATTTCTGCAGACCATCATCATCAGGAATTTCACCTTCATCAGCTGGTGAGTCAGCATCATTTGCCCATCGAGAGGATATTATGGTTCGTGTAGGTATGTAATCATCATTATGTAGTGTCTCTGCCCCATGCACGGGTAGATCTTCAGGAAGTGTAGAGGATACTTCAATTGGGGATTCCAACACAACAGTAGGTGCCATGCTAATCTCAGGAGGCAATGTTTCTGACTTGTGAACCTTAGCATCATCTGCAGGTGAAATCTGTACATCCTCAGCCAGGGAAGGGTTCGGAGATTGGTGATTTGACCTAAGCAAAGTAGGCGGAGGTAAATTAGATTCTAAAACTTTCCTAATCTTAACTGTTCTATTGACTTCCCTATTGTCACTATCCCAGACAATAGGAGAAAACTTTCGCTTCTTACTTTGAACAGGCGATGAGTGATTACAATGTTCTGAATTCTTCACTTCACTCCCTTTATATACCTGAATTTCCAAATCAACAGCCTCATCAGAACCATCACTAGACAACTCCCCAGGCTCTCGATCCATGGCCTGAACTGCAAATCTGCACTTCTTAGGATCACCGCCACTGCTTCCCGAATCACTTCTACTATAAGTAGATTGATATCCACCATTAGCCATCGCTCTCTCCCTCTCCTTAACATCCTTCTGTCTAACACTACCTCTATAATCCTGACTATTACGAACCCGGGCATGACCCCTCTCGTAATTCCTATCCCTGTTCCTAAATTGACCATAATCCCCCTTAGAATACTCAATTTCCTTCCTCGAACCCTCAAAATCTGACTCACGGCCCCTGTACTCATTGTCTCTATAACCATCATGTCTTCCAGCCGCCATAATTCTACGAGCGCTTGGCCGGACTTATCTAATCGGTTCTCGAACGAAAACCCTAAAGCTGACTTCTTACAATCAAACTCCAACAACTTTTTCGAATAAAAAGTTTAAAACCCTAATTTCACACAACAAAAGAAGATTTTTGTATGGGTGAATTCGAATAGCGATCCGTAAATCTAAATCCAAATATAAAAACAAATCTAACAATCATTAATCCTCTCTTATCAATTATTTTACGAATAGAAAATATAGCCCTAAAATTGAATAAAAAGGCAAAAAGAGACAGGCGTCACTCGTTTTTCAACGATCAAACCGAACCGCGACGATGGCTTTTAGAGAGATAAAGTGCGTGTCTCAATCGCGTTGAGAGAGAAGGAAGATCCAGAGAATTCTCTAATTCCTTTTATCGTTTAATGAATCATTATATTTTGGCTTCTGCTTACGGTAACAAACCAGGACCGTTTACTTGTGGATGGATAGACAAATTTGGCTCTTATGCACTATAGAAAAAATCTAAATAGTCCAAATTCAATTTTTTTCAAAAATTAATTACTTTTTTAAATAATGGGCACCAAAGTTTATGACACTGCATGTGCAAATGCTCATGATATGTAATGAAGGCTTCCGACGTTGGTGCAATGATTCACAAATGCGAGGGTTTGGTGGTGACGGTATGCTCAAAATCTAAGTGGGTAAATGATCTAGACCATAATATGCAGAAGCTTTTAGCACTCGGGGAAGGCCTTACTTACCTCTTCCTTATAGATAAGATGGGTTCAAACTATGGCCATGTCTGCGTCAACTTTTGAGCTGACTTTTAATCCATTATTTGACCGTTGAGCAGCCATTATGGACAATTCCTCTCACGGGCGGGGCCCAGGTACAAGAAAGAAACGGTCAAATTTTGGCTGAAAAGCTGGGGCAAACAAGGCCTAAATTCATTGTCTTCAATGATCTACATGAATAATAAACAAAGACTTATTCATTATCATAATAAAAGTTCAAACGAAGGATAACACTTAATGAACAAAATCATCAATAATTTTACAAAACCATGAGATTTACAACATACGAAAATATATGTTTAAATTATAATATTAGCGGTGACAAGCTCCTCTATGGATGTTCTTGTTTCTGCAAGTCAATTCAATCTTTCAGCTTTTACCTACAAGTAGATATTATAGGTTAAGCCGTAATACCTTTTTATAACAACATTAATAAATCAAATGAATAAGAAATAAGCAAAGAAAATACAAACATTTAGGGTGCGTTTGATTGTAAGGTTGGAAAATTGGTGGAAAGAAAATGTATTCCAGGGAAAGTGTTTTGTCTAGAAATCATTTTCCTGAGAATTGTCAATGAAATGTGTTTGATTTGTATAATTTTCCACCTGAAAAATATTGAAATTTTGGATTTTTTGTGTTCGCTTAGCATTGTTTTTTATGAAAATTGTCGACTAAAGGAATAAAATTTGTTACAATTGGGATGGAATTTGTTTCAATTGAAAAAAAAAAAAAAAAAAAACTGAAATTGACAAAATTGAATGCCCTTCTAATACAAAAACAGAGGCCATCATATCATCATCTCCTTCGTCTTCTCCATTTCGCTGGGCTGCCATCTTCTCCCTTTCTCTTGGGCTCTCGTTTTCTCGTAACTAGCAACAGCACTAGCTCCACCAGCAGAGGTAGCAACTGCTAGTGCAGCTCCAACATTCATCACAAGGTCCTCAATGTCCGGTTGGTGGAGCATAGCAAAAAGGATTAGCCAATACGATTCGAGCTAAATTGACGAAGACCCATATATGTATGTTGTTCGCCATAATGAGGATGAGGTAATGGTGGTGGTGAGCGACCGTGATTCTGCACGCCGACGTCGAAATTTGGGCTGCAATGTGCGTGGTTCGCTGCCAAGAAAGTGGTATGGAATTGAGCCTGATTGAAAACGTTTCTTGGTGATATGGGATCATGAAACTGCTCGCATTGATGAGTATTAGGGCCTGTAATTGAGTATGGTCGTTGGTGTTGGAGGATTGGCCATAATTGGTGTTGAAACCGTGCGTGAATGCTTGATTTTTATCCCAAATTTTGTCTGATTTTGGAGCTGTTATGTATAATTTTTGGTATGGAATTGAAGAGTGGGATGGGGACATGTTGACAGTGTGGAAATCAGGTGGTTTGTCCGGCGGCAAGGTGGATGAATTTGGAGTTGAAGGTGCCGGTGGAGTTGATGATTTTGGTTGCAATTCCTACTTGCCAAGAAAATAAAAAACCTGATGAAACATGAGAAAACCAATTCAAGGATTCTGTGGAAAAGCTGGTCACGTGATGTTAAAATGAAAAATGTTTTTCATGGAAAATATACTCTATCAAACAGCAAAAAAGTAGGAAAATTGTGAAAATTTTCCATCTTCCATGGAAAAGATTGCCTATCAAACACAGCCTTATATTGATTCACATATAAGATACACGTCCACTTTATCACTCCATGTTTTAACTATAATGCAAAATAAGATTCCAATATTTACCGTCTCTCTCACACAAAAATCTTTAAAAACCTATATATAGTAGGAATATTAACACAATCTAATAAGTATACACGTCATTGTACTGATACTCCTGAAAAGTGTCATATTTACTCGTAACTCCCGCTTGATACCAGTTAAACAAATCTCGGTTATCGTTTTCCAACACAATCGAGAGGATAAATGTACAATATGATTGGGTTCCAACTAAAAACACATGTAGTTCGATGTTGAACAAATGTATATTTCAAAGAAATATGGTTCAAGGGGTCTCGTTTCATATGATTTTAGTTCTCTTTAGGAAAAGGATTAAATTATTTGTACAAAAGTGTACACCTTGATTGACACCCTCCTATGTGTCAAAAATCTAACAGTTGATTGAAAAATGTATTGTTAAGATCAATGTACCAAAATTTACCAACTCACATGGATATAAACCAATGTGTCAATCTTTATGTACATGTATCATGATTATCCGGAAAAATAGGTCAAAAAGACACTTAATCAGCCACTTTTAAGTTGTTTCTTTTTTCAAATTCTTTTTTCTTACGTAACAGTGTTCAATCCGGCCTAATCCTCGTCACCAAACATGTGAGTAGCTTACATCATCCCCAATTGTAGTATGAATAATGTTATTTGTACATAAAAAGTTGCATAATGGTTTACATACAAAAAGAGAGTGAAGAAGTTATCTCATCACATCGTATGTATATGAATCATTATGTGCATGTAGCACAACCGTTGCATTATACATGTGAGAACTTTAGCAGCGAAAGTCCCACGAGCAGCATTGCATGCACTGGAAAGAAAATGGGAGAGAAAGGAACGAACATTTGCATTAAATTTTCAAACAAAAACAGATGAAGAAGTTGGAAGACTTACCATGATTAGCCGATTGTAATCGCACAATATTGTCTGCTCCCTATTTGCTGTTATAAATGAAATTCTCCCGAGAAAGAAATAGCTAAATTACATCCTTGCCGACCATACTAATGAGCTCTCCCTTTGCCGCTTCCATTACTACTTTAAAGTCTATCTGTTGATACCTTCCCCTGAAATCCAGCCAGAAAATTTGAGATCATATAAACGACTAGTCAGTATAATCCACACGATTTCAGCATATTTTTTAATCTATGATCCAACGATCCCTACAATACATGCATCAGTGTCGACCTCTGAGAGAGATCCCATAAAGAGCAGTCGACCCTAGGAATGGCGTTCTGGAAAAATGTTCCATCTTTGACACCATTCTCGATTTAAAGAATCATTTAAACCCTCTACTTCGTGCAAAGATAATATCAATTATCACAGCACTGCGTTTTTCAAGTTAGAAGCAAATCTAGGTTACACTCAAAATGATAAATGACGTTAGTGGTCACGACAAGAAAAAATTAAGGACCATTAATCAAACCATGTACTAATTTTGTTGCCACATTACCAAAAATGAGTTCTTGACCAAACAGCAGCAGGAAAGGCCGGGCTAGCAAGTCCATGCAGTATCCTCGCAATTGCTCGGGGGGTAAATTTCGCTTGTGAATTACTCTGAAGAAAGACCTAAGGCATCAAAAGAGGATAAAATTTTTACAATTTTGGTCAATTTCTTTTTAGCAAGAAACAAGTTGTAACCTTTGAAAATTTGTACCTTTATATCAGCCCGCAAAAATGGACTGCAAATAAAAATGATGTTTTAATTAGTCCAATCAAATAATACCTAGAGAGATTAATATACTTATTGCAATATATATACATAGGCAACCCACACTTTCATATTTATATCCGCTAGTTGAGGCAATATTAGATTACAAATTATTTTGTGTTGTTCATGATTAATGCTCAACGAAACAATAGAGCTCAGCAATAGATCCCAGCTATATATTATGCAATGAAAGCTTACCTTGTTGGAGCATGTTTGCCTAAGCTTAAACAGTCTCTTGTAAGGTTTAGAAAAAAAAAAGGCAAAGTTACTTATTTTAATCAGTAATTACTATCAAAATAAGTAACTTTGGATACACTTCTTTGGAAACTTGAGTAGCACTTATTTATTTTTAAGCCCAAGCAAATGAGCTCCAACAATAAGTTCACTGTGAATTGTGTAATTATAGAACAAACATTTCAACCTGTTTTGACCCATCTGATTAGGAACATCAACATCATCATCCCCGTTAAAGTACTCTTGAATCTTCCTTTGCAAGCAAGAAGTATGTTGGTTTTCTTGGCAGCTGTGCACTTTATCACACACTTTTGCAGCAAAAACGGCAGCATTAAACATTGCATCTATCTTCCGCACCTATGTCAATCAAAGTCAATATGCATGTTATTACGTGCTTGTTTTAAACATCGAGTCCCACTGAATGCGTGGATAATAAGTCGGATAAAAAGTATGTTTGGCCGGTTTAAATTATAATATAAGCTTTACCAAACATGCATTATGAATATCCCCTCTTCCCCCACAAAAAGAGAAGAATAAACTACAAAAAATAATGACATTAAGGAAAGCCAATCACCTTACAGGTCTCGATCTCCGATAACCACTTTGTAAGGCTTGTTGCCAAAGAACAGATATCTTCTGGGACATTAATAATGGTATAACAATAGGCTGGATCCTTCAAATCATATGTGATTTCCCCCTTCAACTAATGCAAGCAATACAGAAAATTCTGTGAATTAGTAAATTCATAATCAATCGGAGAATACAACACGGTTCTTTTCCCAATAAGTTCAATGAGTATAATACAATTAATTGATTAGGACCCTGCCAAACATTATATTACCATAATTTTATTTGTACTTCAACTTATAAAGTGCAAAATATTGAAGCAGCGTTGCAATTTTAAATCATATTCCGCCAATGTCAGAGAAAAATGATTAGAAGCTAGAATTTTTGGAAATTGACAGAGTATGGCATAAATCATGTTCTAAAGACAGCAAAAGTTGGAAGAGAGAATCTTATGGTTCTTAATACGACAAAAAACACAAGTAATTTTTTGCTTCGATAACTTCTTTTCTTACATTTGAGTAAAAAGGTTACTTATCATAAAAGCACCTTAATCTTACTGTCAGAAGTAACTCATCAAACTTAATCCAATAAGAAATTAATTATTTTAAGACTTACTTATTTTGCTTATAAGAAAACATTTTAAGCTTACCTAAACATGCTCTATCTGTCTAACCTCCTCCTATACAAGTTCTACCTCTTCAATCAAATCATGAACAGGGATAAAAACTTGACCTTCGACTTCAAATGGATTAAAGGGAAGAGCAATAACTTCATAAAGCTCTATATGAATAGATAGTTCTACAAGTGGCTAGTAGAAATGAGTTCGAAAGAACAGAAATCTGACAAAATCTTATTCCAAATTGGAATGTGAAAAGCTTGGACGAGTCAAAACATTCTCACCTTTAGACTCTGCAAGTGATTTGTAAGGTCAATAGCCTGCATTCTGATGCTATTTGCCACAGATGGTATGTCAAATACATATTGTCCATCTTTCATTTCAGACCTGAAAAGGTTGTAAAGCATAAGCAGATCAATTAAGAATTTTAAGAACAAATAACTTCATAGTTCGTGGTAGCATGGAATAAAAAATAGTTCTCACTTCTTCAGAATTGCTGCAACCACATTATCTTTAGCCGCAAAAAATGCTGGCGAAGTCTGCAGTAAGACAAATGATTAAAATCTTCAAGCGAAGATGATTATCAAAACTTGAAAGTGTAAGATAAGTTTGCATGTGAATTTGTGTAACTTTTTTTGGATAGGACTAGACACTATAATGATAACTTCTTTTCTTCTTTAATACTATCTGGTATTATTCAATCCTCCTTACTAAACATGCCATTATAGTTTAATATATGTCCATAGTCGACATATGAAATTGCTTTAGAGGAAATTGAATAGACTTTAATGAGCAAAAAGACTTTGACAAGGGAATGTTTAAGACAATACTTAAATGATATACATGTGGCCCTATCTAACAATTTAAGCTTTTGGATCAAATGGTTCAACGTGGTATCAGAGCACGCAAATGTCCTACGTTCAAGTTGCACCGTCACTCATTTAAATGAATTATGCACGTGATAGGCTTTGACGGGAAAAAATGAACCCCATCTACACATGAGGAGGCTTGTTGAAGATCTAACAATTTAAACATTTAGATCAAGTAATTCAACAGAGAACAACGACATAAACTAAACGTCCAGAGAATAGAAATTTATCACCCATAAAAAAATAACGCACCTTATGGAAATTTATAGTACATGTTACATTTATCTGGGGAAGCAATTGAAGGTATTGCACTTCACCCAACTCCAACTGTGTCAAAATAGTTAGCATCACCTACAAGGCAAGAAAAATCAGTAGTTCAACATCATGAGGCAAAATATCTTGACATAAGAAATTCATTTATGATCTTATACCATAAATTTCAATAATATACAAACTGAAACAAAGTACTTAGGTTGATAATCAAAGTTTAATTTTTTTGACAGGAAGATGAAGGCTTGTACGGAAGCACACAAACTTTATTCAAAAGCAGCAACTTGACCGACCTCTTCTTTCATGTCAAATTTACGAGATGCTGTTTCTTTGACTAACGAACAAGTATCATTGGCTGCACTTCTGTTGCTCATAAAAACATGAGAGAGTAACAAATTTACAGCATATGCATCTACGCCATCACTGAAAAAATTAATGTTTTTAGCAAAGTCTATATCTTCAATCCCACAAATGGGAGGCTAAATAGAAATGGCATTTGGGTTACCTGTACATCAAACTCCGAAGCTTGAAGTATGTGACATCATCAAAAAGCATATGGCAATAAGAAAATCTACCATCACGTCCAGCACGACCTATCTCCTGCATAATTTATTTAATATTTTTAAGTCTACAATTTATTTTATTTTTTCGTGGTTGGGGAGGGGAAGGACACACCTAATGAAACTGCTAACAATTGGGAAAAATTTATAAAAAAGAAATTTGACCTGTACATACTCTTCCAAACTTTCGGGTAAGCTATAGTGAATTACCTGAAACAGCGGCATTTTAGAGCTTTAGCAGTCCATAAATGCCACAAAGAAGACAATTGCATAAACTCAAACTCATTAAAAGATTCGTGGATACATTCCTTCAGGGTGATTTCTTAGGAGCAAGATGCAAATTAAATGTTATTGTTATCCTCTGAAATATTTTTAAGACCAATTAATTGTGAATGTTTAATGAAAATTAAATAAATGATATGAAATATGAACACAAGGTTTTCTTACAGCTCCAACATCACTTTTGTCAAGTCCCATGCCAAATGCCACAGTTGCAACCACCTTTGAGAACAAAAGAATGCATGTCAGTGAACCCGAACAAAAGAATGCATGTCAGTGAACCCAAGATTTTAATTTCCACAATGTAACAAGGAGATAATCACACCTATGAAATTATACAAATATAAATAATAAATAAAAATTGATCCCAATAACTTCCTTACCACTCTTATCCTATTAGAACAAAACAATTCCTGAATGCGGTTCCTATCTTTAGCAGGAATGGCACTGTGGTAACTCTGAGAAACATACAGAACTTCATCATTATTTCCAATATAAAAAACAAAGAACTGCAGTAAGAGAACATAAAGCTTGCATCATTCAAATAAACAGAAGATTACAAATGCTATACAAACCTTAGCTGAGATGTTGTTATCACATAGATATTTGCTTATCATGTCAGTTTCAGACTGCACCAAATTGTAGGACACAGAGTTACTATAAGTCAAAATCACAAGAGTGAAGAAATAGCAATCTGGTCCAAGTTTATAGATTCATCATTTTTAGAAGAATTAAAATCATGGTATACCTGAAATTTACAGTAAATAATGAGGCTTTTGATATCCAAAAAAGGAGAAGACTTGAGCAATGCCACCAAATCTTTCATCCTGGCATTGTTAATAGAATATTGAGATAATAAAACTCAATACAAGAAAATTGACAAAGTGTGTGTGTGTACACTAACCTATTCCTGCTCATAGACACCGATAAATGCAGATTATCCCTTAATTGGGCTGACTGGATGAGATTTGTGGGAGTAATCTCTAAAGAGTGCATTATGTCACGCAAAGTTTTGGTTGTTGCAGTTGCAGTCATAGCTAGAATGCAACCAGCATTAAGCTTCCCACGTAGCAAGGAGGCTCTAAGCCTCATATACGAAGGTCGAAAATTATGTGACCTGTCAAAATTTTTAGGTTTCAGAAAATTATGAAACTTCATAGTGATAATGAGTTTGGCATATTGCGGTCGTGGTGAAGGAAACTCTTAAGATCCAATTCACAACCTGATAAAACTGGGAAGAAAATAATCCTACAAATGCTCACCATTCAGAAACACAGTGTGCTTCATCAACAACCACGAGAGATACCAGTTGACTGCCAGAAAATATGGATAGGAATTCTGCATTCATGAACCTCTCTGGTGAAACAAAAAGAACCTGAACATGAACCGAGAAAATTTCTTAATGTTTAGGTACATATCTAAAGGATAAAGTGAGTGCTTATCACATTTCAACAAATAATCCATCAAAAGATCCATAATGGTGTGAAATGGTCTTAAACAGAACCAATTGATATAGATGCATTTACATAAACATGAAAAAAACCGTTATGTTGCAATCAAGGACTTAAAGTTAACCTTTATTGCCCCTTCTTGTAGTAACCGGAGGGTTTTTGCAGCCTCCTCGGGCGTCTGAAACAGACATCAAGAAACATCACATTTATAAAAATAATCATAGAGGGACAAAAATGCATACGTATCCATCGACGCTGAGAAAGAAAATACCTGGCTGCTACACAAAAGACCACCCGGAATTGAAGGAGGCAGCTGCTTAAGTTGATCGATCATCAAAGCCACTAAAGGACTCACCACAAGGGTGACTCCCGGGAAGATCAATGCAGGCAACTGATAACACAGCGACTTGCCGGAACCGGTTGGCAAAACCAACATTGTCGATTTCCCAGAGAGCACCATCTTTATTGCCTCCAACTGACCATTCCTAAATGAATTATACCCATGTGTGAACTTTAATAACTTCTCCAAATTTCCATCGGAGGCCTCGTTTCTTACACTTATTACAGCCTCCTCAATCGATTCACTATCAAAATTCATACTTTCCTCTCTCTCTCCAATCTCCAAAACCAAACCCTCTCCATCAAGAATCTCACCACTTTCGTTTCCTTCATTTCCAACTCTCAATTTCTTTTTAAAATATCTTGAAAATTTTCTCCGCCCACTATATGCACTAAAGCTTTTTCTTTTATTCTTAAAGGCAAACTTTTTCCTCCCATAGCCATTTATATTAAGCTTCACAAAATTACCTTCACTAACACGTTTAGGCTTGTTCACATTCATTGTGGAAGAAACATTAAAACCAATCAAATTAAGATGTTTCCTCACCTTCTCGGAAGAAATTCCTTTGCTAACAGCTTCATTTTTCACTTCTCGCAGGTCAGCATTTTGCACATGAATTTCACTTTTAGTATCAATTGGAAAATCCTTTTCACTGGGCTCAAAAATGAGATTTTTATTCTGGGATTTATTGGAAAAAGATGCGAATTTCGACAAGCGATGGCTGCCGGGTAAAAGAGTATAAGAGGCATTATGATAATTTTGGTGGTGTGTTGAAGTATGGATTTGAAAAGGTAAATTGGAGAAATTTGGTGGAGGGATCTGGGGATGGCTTCGAAATGAGTCTATTATGGGAGGTTTTGGGTCGGGTTCTGTAATGGGTTTTAAGTTTTTGGTGGAGAGTTTGAGTTTTAAAACGGGCCGGGAAGTGGTGGGGTCGGCGGCTTTAATTTTGGTTCTTGATCGGGTGGTAGATAGACAGGTGGGTCGCGGTGGTGGCACTGCCGGCAGAGGAGGCGTAGGTGACGGAGGTGGTGAGTGACGCGGCGGTGTGGCAGAGATATGAGAGCCGTCGGAATCGGAGTCGGAATCCATGGCGATAATAAGATTTAGAGCGTGTGTGTTTCGCGCCGGCAAGGGTGTAGTGGTTTTTTTGTACTTTCCCGCCTCTTTTGTGTTGGTAAGGTTCTTTTGGTAGGTTAATTATTTGAATGGTGATTCAACTTTACCAAATATTACTACTTTGAACTTAAAAATATATCTTAATAGTCACTTAATCATGTCAAGTGCTACTACTTACTAATTAAGCTTAAAAACGTATAGATATGATCACTAAACCATACACCATATTACCCATTCATCACTCACGTGGAAAAATTCGTTAGATTCGACAAACGGCATTTACTTAAGTGATAGATGGATAACACGATGTATAATTCAGTGATCATTGAGATACATTTTTATGTTCATTTATTAAGTAGTAACACTTCGCATAATTCACGACAATTGAGATGCATTTTTAAATTCAATTATTAAATCTCTCAAATCAACTTCTGTGAAAGAAGAAACCAAACAAAATGAAGAGAAAAAAGAGTAGCAGAAGATAAGAGACCTATAAATCGAAAAAAAAAAAAGAACTTTTGTTGATATCCATTATAAAATAAATGGATGACACTAGTCTTCAACTGAAAGTTTTACGACCCGAATAGAGGATATACAATGCTAAATTGGGTCTGAATGATTTATGTAGTCATTAAATTCCCAACTAGCATATCCCCTTCATCAGCAACTACCGTTTCATTTACTTGAATTACCAGATTGCTCAGTTCAGTGGTCATTTCTTGTAGCTATTTTCGATATTTTTGTTGTCGTGCTTCAATGATACTGAACTATGACAAGTGCTACTACTTTATAATTGAATTTAAAAAAGTATCTCAATGGTCACTAAAGTATATATGGTGTAACCCATCAATCGCCAAGTTAACGTTGTTTATTAAACCTAACAAATTTTCCAACTTGAGTGATGGATATGTAACACGGTGCATAATTCAGTAATCACATGGATACATTTTCAAGTTTAGTTATGAAGCAATAATACTTGACAAAGTTCAGTGACCACTGAAATACATTTTAAATTCAGTTATTAAGTAGTAATACTTGACAAAGTTTAGTGATCGTTCAAATAATAAACCCTTCTTCTTGCTATTTTGAATTTTGCTGGTGTGCCAGAAGAGGTGCACCCACCTGGGTGACCGACCCTCACAAGAGGGTGGGACCCACGTGGGACCCACGTGTAATAAAAAATAAAAAAAGGCCCCATCCTCTCCCAATGTGTCTGTCCTGTCAGGGAAGGTGTCACACCCTCTCTGGCACTGCAGCACTTCTCTGCTATTTTAGGGTGAACGAGGGACTTTTTGGTCACTGTGTGTAAATTAGGCAAAATACGTTGAGTTGATTTCCCTATACAATAAAAGAGCCACTTTTCATTTTACTGTTCACAATTTCGTCCTCCGAAACGACGTCGTTTTGGCACATGGTTTTCAAGGGGCTTTTTGCTGTACATGTTATTTGTAAAGTATTTTCCGTCTGTATTTAACATTTTTAAACTTTTGGTATAACCGAGCTGTTGCAATTTTCAGGTGTTAAACTTTATTTATGGTGAAGTTTAGTTTTCACGTGACTTGCAGGGTTTGGCTAATAGTTAAACAGTGTATTTTAATGTGGACGCCGCAGTTTTAGCGCATGTTTGGATTGGCTTACTTATCATTATCTCATATTTCCCTATACAATAAAAGAGCCACTTTTCATTTTACTGTTCACAATTTCGTCCTCCGAAACGACGTCGTTTTGGCACATGGTTTTCCCCTTTTTCTTCTTCGTCCTGAGAATCAGCTCGCTAAACCCTATCTACCTCGCTAAGCCCTATCTACCGAAATCGTCTTCTCACGATAGCAATCGCCACCTTCACGCACAGCCTCTCCGCCGGTAGCAGGCTTCGAGCTCTCGACCTCAGCTCCGGCCTCGGGCTCTTCAATTTGCAGATTTTCGAAGTGGGTATGGTCTTTTTCAGTCTCGAAGTCATCATTTTCGTGGGTTGTCGGTAATTTTCTAATTCTTTTGTAATTGAAGGCCTAAACAGAGGCAGCACCGCATCTGCTGCTGCTACCGATGCGGTGACTCCACAGGTGACGACGGGCAAGGCCGCGAGGACGAGGAGAAAGTCGCCAGCGCTCAGTTTAGTACTCTTTTTCTTCATACTCATTTATATACAATCATTTGTGTGCGCGATATGAATTTGGGGAACGTAAAAAATGCTGTTAAATTTTTGAAGTTTTTTGGGTAAAGGTTGAATTTCTGTTTTTGTATAAACTATATGTTATCAATTACTTCACGTTTCTTCCCTTTTGGGTGTTTTCTGAACCTAATTTCTCTTTAATTTCCGTGGGTTTATAATTTTAATTTCAGTTGACGTGCCTTGGTCTCCTTCTGTAAATAACTGAGGATTTAGTCCATTTCACAAAAATGGCGCAGTGTGTACGAAGCCTTCTCTGTCGCCTTCTCATTTTCTTGGCTGTTTAAATTCACATTTTGTTGAATTTTCTCGTGTGTACCGATACATATGACTGCATGAAAATTATTGTACATCTATATTAGGAATAAAGCATTTACAACCTCCCCAATTTGGTTTCTTGGTAGTTTTATTATTTGGGCTAATGTTTGACTTGATC